ATGCGAATAACAGTTTAACTTCTTAGACTCAGCCATTGACTTTGGCAGAATCAGAACACAAGAAGTACAGTATGTTGACCTAACTTGTCTTGCTGCTACAAAGATTTGTAATGCTGAAGGTTTGAGGCATGTGGATCCATGCACCTGGAAACTTACCAGAGATCTGGGCTCAAGTAAGAAAAGTTATGAGCCAGGGAAACAGAAGGCAGTTCTTGGCTACCCTGACATATTAGGGCAAGGCCTTCCAGGTTGGAGTGGCCTATTTGAAACCAGGGGTCATATTTTAAAAAATAAAAAAAAAAAAAAAAAAAGCAGTAGTTCATAATGGATTCATATTTATAATGAAAAGGAAAAGAGGCTCTGAGCTGCGCTGATATATGTGACCAGTAACTTACTAACTCCTCTTTATAATTGACATTGCTTCCTTAGCAGTTTTGGGGAAAAAAAGTACACAGCAAAGTACATAAATATTCTTCTTTCCCCTGGACTTTATGTCTTATTTATCATTATGTTGCTTTGGGGCCTGCCAACACATTGTATTTAATAAGCCTTCAGTGGCTTACTAGGTTAAAGATCAGAGAACCAGTGTGAGAAGCTATGATTGCGTTGTTGGCTCTCAAGATAGAAACTTTACTAAGCCTGATAAGAAGAAAGATAGGTCATTTATGGAAAAACAAAACAACACAAAATCCCAAAGCCACTGTTTTTCATTCTTTGTTTTTAGATAGAGTAAGTATCTTCAATTTGTAAATTCTTTATCCCTTTACACTTCTATTAGTAGTAGTGTCTCTTGGTTTTAGAAACAGAGGGGTTAGTTAACAAGGAGGTTATCTACTGCAGAGTTTTCAATAAAGAATATTGTAGTGTTTTCACAGATGGAGCCAAGTAAGTTGGTTCAGTAGGACTCTGATGTGAAATGGATTCAAATATACTAGAAATAAAATGAGAAACTCAGAAACACAACTATGTAAATCCACTGTGACATTTAGTGCTCTCTTTCAACACAATTATTAATGGATTCACTGCTTTTTCTTTATGACTTCTGTGTATGAATTAAATGTTTATAGAAATACTTCAAAATACTTTTGCATAATCAATCTATATTCATTATAGAAAACTGGAAAATACAAATCCCCTAAACAGTCCTCTCACCCAAATTTATAATTGTCAACTTTTTAAAAATATTTTTTTAGTTGTTAATGGACTTTATTTTGTTTATTTATATGTGGTGCTGAGAATTGAACCCAGTGCCTCACACATGCTAGGCAAGCACTCTACCACTGAGCCACAATCCAAGCCCCCATTGTCACTTTTTTGCTGTTAATCCTATCAAGTTTTATTGATCTCACTATAATAAAACATTTATGCAAAAACATCGTTTGAAAAATGGGATATGTGTTTTGTGACACATTGTTGTGAATATATCAACATAATATTGCCATGCATGATCATTTAAAATAGGAATTATTAAATTAATGTATTTATCTACATAATTTATCTTATTGGTTTCTCATTCTTGGATATGTAGATTGTCTATTTTAAAACATATAAACAGTGAAATAAATGTCCATTTATAAACATTTTTGTGATTTTGAGATTACACCTTTGGGCTATAATAGAAATAGTAATAAATGACACTGGGGAGGGAAAATATAGAACTCTGGCTTAAACTGAGAAATCCAATATAAAGGGAAAAGAACTATACTTTGGTTTAGGTCTTAATTCTATATTGACTTGGTATTGAACCTTGGGAAATTATTAACTATTTTGACCCTGCAATAGGACATTTTGACTCTGAGGATCTTTTGATAGTGTTTATATATTAAAGAATTTAGCAGAAATATTCCAGAAGAGTTGTAAACGTACAAATCATTAGGAAGACCCATACCAGGAACACATAGACCAAGATGGAAATTGATATATTTGGTTTTCTCTTGGGTCTCAGTTTTGTATATTAAAAAACGGTGCCACTGACCCATTTGTTCTTAACCTGAGGTGATTCCCCTCCCCCAGGGGACATTTGGCAAGGTCTGGAGATGGTTTTGGTTGTCAGAACCATGAGGGAGGGCTACTACTGTCATTTTGTGTGTGGAGGCCAGTGATACTGCTAAACATTCTATAATACACAGGACAACTCCTCTGTTTTAGTGAGCTTTTTTGCTGCTGTGACCAAAAGACCCGACAAGAACAATTTTAGAGAGGAAGAGTTTATTTGGTGCTCCCAGTTTCCGAGGTCTCTGAACATAGATGGCTGACTCTAGATGGCCAACTCCATTGCTCTGGTCCAAAGATAAGGCAGGACATTTTGGCAGAACAGTGTGGTGGAGGAAAACACCTGGGAACATGGCACCAGGAAAGAGACAGCTCCACTCTCTTGGAACAAAATATATATCCCAAAGGCATGCCCCCTATGAACTACTTTCTCTAGACACACCTTACATGCTTATAGTTGCCACCAAGTTAATCCCTATGAGAGGATTAATTCACGGACTGTCTTAAGGTTCTCATAATCCAATCATTTCACCTCTAAACTTTCTTGCATTGTCTCACACATGAGCTTTTGGGTCACTTAATATCTAAACTATAACACTGTCACAATAAAGAAGTATCTATCCAAAATGTCAATAGTGCCACGTTTGAGAAACTATGAACTAAATCAACTTCTTTGTCAAAGCTTGTTAAAAACTTCATACAAATCAAATTTAAGAGTTTAACTTAGAGCAATGAATGATTGACAAATCAGATAGCTCTAGAACCAGAAAAGTTTCAGAGAGGTTCACATAGCAATATGGGCAAGCAGCACTTATGGACAAGAAACAAGTGCAGTTCAGAAAGAACTTGATGGATTATAGCTTACTGTTTGCCTTATTTGCCCATGGTTTGATCAGTTGACAACCTGTGTTGACTGAAGCTGGGCTTGGTGTGTCTGGCTAAGACTCAGTTAATATAAAAGTATATTAAGTTAGGTTTTCAAATAGTTTACTAAGTTAATTTACATTTTTTAGAAGCCTCTTGCTTGTTGCTCTAATGCTTGGGGATCTTCAGATACCTTTTTGATTTGATTTCTAGTTTAATTTCACTGTGGCCAGAAAGCATACTCTATGGTTTTAGTCCTTTGAAATTTATCAAGACTTGCTTCATGGTCCAGTTTATGATATACTTGGGTGAATTTTCCATGTACATTTAAAAAGAACTTGTAATATGCTGTCATTGGGTGTAATGTTCCAAAAAGTTTTTGTACATCAAGTGAATATTAGTAATTTCAGATCAATACTCTTCTCTGCCCTTACCTTTGATACTTAATCTTAGCCAAAAGACTAAGAAGCAATTGTCCTAACGTCTGTATTCCTTTCTCCTCCTGTTCCTTCCATCAATTTCTGGGGAAGTACTTTAAATTATTTAGATGATTGTGAATTTGTCTATTTCTACTTTTCTGTCAAGTTTTTTTTTCTTCTTTTTCCTTCATATTTATTCTCTAGCTCCCTTGTTGCCCAGGTCATCACCATGGTTTTGCTGTTTTCTTCCACGGAGAAAGAGGTTAGGATGTTGCTTTATCTAGTTTCCTTCTTTCCTTGCTTGCTCTTCTGGCTTTTTAGGCCTAGAGGTCGTCATGGTTTTCTGTTATGGCTAGTCCCAGGGTATTGCATTATTCTTATTATTTTTCTGCCCTCACCTTTGTTAATCGTTTCTTGATCATACTCTTTTCAGTTACTCAATTTAAATGTAACAACATTCCATCTGTTTCTTTCAAGGTCTCTGATTGACAAATCCATATGCTTGGTAAAGCATTTTAGTTAGTAGAAAAATCCAGCGCAGAAACAAGAAATAGGGAGGAGACAGACCAGTTGTGGCTGGAGTAGAATGAGTGCAGAGAAAAATTATAGGAGATGAAGTCAGAGAGGAAACCGGGGGAGCTAGATTAAAAATATGCCTGTAGGCTATTGCAAAGAATGGAGGATTGACCAGAGGATTGGTATTGATGCATATTTTATTAGAATCACTATAGCTACTCTATTGAGACTAGACTGTAGGGGAGCAAGGATTGAAACAGGAAATCTGTCAAGATATGTGAGAGAAGGCTTTTTGGACTACCATGGATTAGGGTATGAAAGAGAAAAATTAAGAATTTCTTGACTCCAAGCTTTGTGGTCTGAACTGCTGGAAGGAAGAAGTAGCCATTAGCAGAATGGGAATACTGAGTTGAGCTTTTTGATGGGAAGATCAAAAGTGCAGTTCTAAATACTGAGGAAAATTTTACTACTTTAAAAAAAACCTCAGTAAAAAAGTTATAGATATACCATGTTTTATTTTGTGATTCCCGTTATTTAATATTAAGTTAAAATTTTTTTGTAAAAAACCTATCAAGAGATGTCTTAGTCTGCTTGGGCTGCTATAACAAATTTCATAAACTGGATTATTCAGAAACAACAGAAATTTATTTCTCACAGTTTGGGGTTTAGAAATTCCAAAATCAAGGTGCCAACTGATTAGATGTTTTAGTGAGGGCCAACTTTTTGGTTCATGTTGACACCTTTTACCTCTATCTTCACATGGTTAAAGGGGAAAATGAGCTGCCAGATAATTATAGTCTTTTTAAGAATTGAAATAATATTTATGAAGGATTCTCATTTGAAAATGACACAGCTATAATTCTTTATAACTGTTCTGTAATAAAAGCCAGTAAGTATCTCTCTTATATTTGTAAGGAAGGTTATACTTTAAAAACAGATACTTTAGAAAGTAGCTAATTTATGTTTTCCTTGCACTAAGAAAAATAGGGTAGCATAATCTATCAGCCAATGCCTGGAAGTAGTTAAGGTTGTACTGTGAGACCCTACTGACCACTACATTTTTGAGGATATTAGAATTTAAAGACCAGTGGTTCTCAAAGTTGCATTAAAAATGACCTGGAGGGCTTGCTGAAGCAGATTGCTGGACAATACTGATTCAGTGTTCTGGGGGGCCTGAATATTTGCATTTTTAATAATTTTCAGGTGATGATGTTGCTACTGGTCTTTGAAAGTGTGAAGACCAGAGACTGAAGATGGTTGTTATTATCACCATGATTTAAGTTCTTAGTCTCTAGAGTACCTGACTAGTTATAAACTGGCCATTCTGAAATATGAATTTTCCACAACTACTTTTTGAGTGTCTTTGAACCGTGTCCGAAGTTCCAGGTGCAGTATGCCTAACTTGCTGTTAGGACAAAGCAGAGAGCGATTATTTGGTTTAGTCCTGCACTTTAGAAAATCAGTCATAAATTAATGTTAGTTTAAAAAATTGAAAGTATAGAAGTTACTGAGAACTTTTGTAGTTCTTTTTCTACTTGTTTCATGTTGAGATTCTTGGCATTTATGTCACTTAGAGTTTTGTTCTTTTAATATGGATCTAGAAATATTAAAGTTTGAGGTGGATTGCTAGAGAACCTGAAATTGTACGTAGTAAAATAAGGATGTATAAAGATATAAAAAGGTTGAGGATATGTGTTAAAAATTCAACTATTCATGCTTTGGATACTCTTAAATAACATACATCTTCTGTATTATTATTGCCTATGTTAGCATTACTATTAATGAAAAGACAAAATGGTTAATATTGTATTGTGCTTCATCTTTTTTTGCTAACCCAAATTTGAAATGTGAATTTTAATAATACTTCATTTCTCCCTGATATAATTTATACTGTGGACAGAAGTTTTTGAATGCACTGCCTTTAACATAGTCATATGTGTAGTACATTTCTGTGATGTCCTCTCTGTGGGTCAGGAGAATCATTGTTGATAAAGGCATGGTATATGTCACTTGTCCCTTGTAATGTGTGTTTTCTTTATTCTCTTTTTAGGTGATACTGTTAATATTGGGGATGTATCCTATAAGTTGAGAACTCCTAAGAACCCAGAACTTGTGCCACAGAACTACAGTAAGAAATATTTATTTATGAATGAATACATTTTAAACTTTTTAATGGGAATTTTCAAACAAACACAACCTAGAGAGAATATTAAAAAAGTGTATGATCTAGTTTATTAATATTATGCCAATCTTTAACCTGAACCTCTTTTTTTTTTGGTTCTGGAGTATTTAAAACCTATCCAAGACATCCTATTACTTTCTTTATTCATGACTATTTAGTAGAAACATTAGTTTTTCTCACTACCCTTAAAAAAAAACTTGGGATAAAGTTTACATCTACTAAAATGTATAGATTTCAAATGTTTATTTGGTTAGTTTTGACAATTTTATAAACCTTGGCTTTCCATCTCTGTGACAATATACCTGACATAAACTCAGATTAAAGGAGGAAAGATTTATTTGGCTCATGATTTCAGAGGTTTCATTTTATGGTTGGATAGCTCCATTGTTTTGGGCCCATGGCAAGGCAGAACATAAGTGTGGCAGAGTGAAGCTACCCACCTCATGGTGGCTGGGATGCAGAGGGATACAGCCTAGAACAAGATAGATCCTCAGTGACCTACTTCCTCCAACTAGGTCTTACTCCTAAAGTTTCTACTACCTCCCAATAATGCCACCAGCTGAGGACCATGTCTTCAACACATAAACCTTTGGGGGATATTCCATATTCAAACTGTAACAACCTCCAAATATTCTCTTTGCCTTTATCATGACTTGGAAACCACTGATGTCTTTTCTGCCATGATAGATTAGTTTTACCTACTCCTTAGCTTTTTAAAAGTAGAGTCATGCAGTATGATTGTGTGTGTGTATCTAAGTTCTTTACATCAAGAGAATGAATTTAAGGTTCATCCATGTGGCTGCACCTATCTGTTTTGATTGCTGAATAGTAGTTTATTGTAAAAAAATACCACAGTGTGTTCATCCATTCTTCTGTTAATAGATTTTTGGATGACTTCCATTTTTAGATTGTCATAAATAAGGTACTATGAAAATTTGTGTACAAGTCTTGTGATCATAAATTTTCACTTCTTTTGAGTAGAAAACTAGGAATTGAATTGATGTATTATAGGGTAGATACCTGTTTATAACACACTGGAAATAATTCTCCAAATCAGTTGATCAGTTGTACTATTTCCATTTTTTTTTGTACCAGGGATTGAACCCAGGGGTACTTAATTACTGAGCAGTATCCCCAGTTCTTTGTTTTTATTTTGAGACAGGGTCTTGCTATGCTGTGGGACTCACTGAATTGTTGAGTTTGGCTTTGAACTTGTGATCCTTCTGCCTCAGCCTCCAGAGCCACTGGGATTACAGGCATGCATCACTACACTTGGCTGTACCATTTACTTTTAACAGTGATATTCTACATCCTTACCAACATTGGTGTCTTATTCTATTAGGTATGAAATAGTAACACATTGTGGTTTTTGTTTATAAGTTTTGTTCAGATGTAATTCATATACCATAAAATTCACTTTTTAAAGTGTATAGTTTATTGATTAGTAGCATATTCAAGGAGTTGTACAGCCACACCACTAACTTTAGAACATTGTCATTACCCCTGAAAGGTTACATATTAATAGTTACTCTCCATTTTTTCCTTTTCAACCTTAACCTGTGGTAATCACTACGCATTATGTTTTTATGGGTTTGTCTATTCAGGACATGTTATATAAATGGAATCATACAATATGTGGCCTCTGTATCTGGCTTATTTCACTTAACATATTTTCAAGGTTCATTGTTTGCATAGTATGTATTACTATGGATGAATTATATTCCATTGTATGAATATTTTACAATTTGTATATGCATTTATCAGTTGATGGATATTTGGTTTCCACTTTTGGTCTGTTATGAGTAATACTGTTGTAGAAGTTTTTATATGGACATATGTTTTCAATTTTCTTACATATGTACCCAGGAGAGAAATTGCTAGGTCATATGGTAATCCTTTGTAACATTTTGAGCAATTACCAAAATGGTTTCCAAAGCAGCTGTACCATTTTACATTCCCATCAACAATGAATAAGGGTTCTCATTTCTCAATATCATCACTGCTTTTTACTGTCCATCATTTTGATTGTAGCCATCCTTATGCATGTAAAGTGGTATCTTATTGTGCTATTGTACTTTTGATTTGACTATTCCTAATGACTTGCCATTTCTTTGCTCAAAATCATTTTATTTCTTTTCTCAAGAATTTAAAACATCTTTCTTATACCTTGGGAACAAAGATAAATCCTTAGCTATTTTGATCTAGACTTAGTCTAATCTTTACACTCTCTTTTTTCTGTGTTTCAGTGATTGAGTACAAATAGAACATGTTTTTTTTTTTCCTCTTTAGATTTTTCCACTAGACTATGTGCTCTTTAGCAAAGAAATCTTATTTTCATCTAATGCAAAATTACATTGACTCTACCTCCTAAATGGCCTTGCCATCTGTCTTCTCTACTCTGTTCCCCCTTTATTTTACTATGTTTTAGGTTTTTTCTTTTTAATTATATTTTCTTAGTGGTCATCTTAGGGATTACAATTAACACCTAAAGCAATTTTTTCAGGCTAATACTAACTTTAATTTTAATAGTATAAAAAACTTTGCTTCAGTATATGTAGGTCTGTTCTCTCCCACCTCCTTTGTGTTGTTATTATTATTATTATTTAATATTTGTTTTTTTTTAGTTGTAGTTGGACACAATACCTTTATTTATTGATTTTTATGTGGTGCTGAGGATTGAACCCAGGGCCTCGCACATGCTAGGTGAGGGCTCTACCACTGTGCCACAGCCCCCTTTGTGTTATTATTATTATACAACTTATATCTTTATACATTAAAAGTCTACAGTTTTATAATTTTTGCTTTATGAAGTTGTCTTTTAAGTTAAATAGGAGAAGAAAAGAATGGACAAAAACATGTTTATACTGTCTTTATATTTGCTTATATTATTTTCTTTGCCAGTCTTAATTTCTTTGTGTAGACTTGATTTACTATTTATTATGCTTTCATTTCAGCCTGAAAGAAGGACTTTAGTATTTCTTATAGGGAAAGTCAGCTAGTAAAGAATTCTCTGTTTTTGTTGATCTGGAAATATCATAATTTCTTCTTTGTATTTTGAAGGATAATTTTACTGGGTGTACAGTTCTTGGTTGACAGTTCTTTTGAGCACTTTGAATATGTCACCATATTGCCTTTGGCCTCCCTACTTTCTGATGAGAAGTCAGTTATTAATCTTATCAAGGATCCTCTATGTAATGAGTTACTTTTCTCTCTGCTGTGAAGATTCTCATTTTGGCTTTTGATAGTTTGATTAGGATGTGTACTGTTTTAGTAAGCTTTTTCAATGCTGTGACTAAAAGAATAACCTGGAACAATTGTGAAGGAGGAAAAGTTTATTTAGGGGCTCACAGTTTCAGAGTTCTCAGTCTATAGATAGCAGGCTCCATTCCTCAGGGCTTGAGAGGAGGCAGGACATAATAATTGCAGAAGAGTATGGTGGAGAGAAATAGCTCACATGATGATCAGGAAGCAGAGAGAGACTCCACTCACCAGATACCAAATATGTCACCCTCCCCCCTAAGGAATTCCCTCAGGGACCCACCTCTTTCAGCCACACCATACCCTCCTTCAGTTATCACGTAATTAATTTTGTCAGGGGATCAATTCACAGATTGCTTTAGGGCTCTCATAACTCAATCATTTTTCCTCTAAACCTCTTTCATTGTCTCACATCTGAGCTTTTGGGGACACCTCACATCCAACCATAACAGGTACTATGGTTTGGATGTGGTTTATCCCCCAAAGGTTCATGTCCTAGAACCTTAGTGCCTAATATGGGAGTGCTGGAGGATGGTCGAACCTTTAAGAGAAGCGTCCTAGTGAGTGATAATTAGGTCACTGGGGAACTGCTTTTGGAGGGGAGATTAATTCTGGCCTTTTGGAATGAATTTCCTGGAGAATGGGTTGTTATAGAAAGAGTAAGACTGGACCCTCCTTTTTGAATTTCTCTTCTAATGTTCTTACCTATCATGTTATGGCACAGTCAAGGGGGCTCTTACCAAATGCTGAAAAGATAGGGCCACCTGATCTTGGATCTTCAGTCTCCCAATCTGTGGGCTAAATAAATCTATTTTATTTATAATTATTTTATCTTAGATATTTTGTTATAACAATGGAAAACAGACTAATACATTAACAGTGCTAATTTCTGAGTTCATCCTATTTGAAGTTTGTTGAGCTTCTTGGATACTTAGATTTAATGATTTTCATTAGTTTGGCAATTTTTTAGCCATTATTTTTTCTCTTCTATCTATTTCTTTCTAGTACTCCTTTATTTGTATGTTGATAAGCTTGATGATATCCTACTGGTCTCAGAAACTTCATTTTTCTTTCTGTTACTGAGACTAGATACTCTGAGTTGACCTGTTTTCAAGTTTGCTAATTGTTTCCTCTCTCTGATCACTTACTTTTCTATCTTTAAGGTTAATGATTCTTTACCTGTTCACATTTGTTTTTGAGTTTCTCTAGTGAATTTTTTCATTTCACGTATTATAAATGTTTTCAAGTTCATAATTTTTATTTGGATTTTTGAAATAATTTCTATTTTTATTGATGTTCTTTCTTGAGATGTCATCCTCACATTGTCTTTTAATTCTTTAGACATGATTTCATTTTATTCTAGAATTTATTTGTAATGATTGATTTAAAGTGTTTGTCTACCAAGTCAAATGTCTGGCTTCCTCAGAAACAGTTTTTTATTGACTCTTTTTTTTTCCTATGAACCATATTTTTTATATTTAAAATAGTATAATGTGGCAGCTCTGGATATCAGATTCTGCCTTTCCCAGGATTTCTTGTTTCTCCTTGTTTATTTGCTTTTGTAAGCTATTTCTTTAAATTCCAAATTCTTTGTCATGTGCAGTGCTTTAAGTTTCTGCTCGGTTGGTTTAGTAGTAAGCTAATGATTAGACAAGAGATTTCTTAAATGTGTTGAACTAATAATTCTC